TCTTGACACTGAGACGTACGGAAGGTTGCCATGGCAATTTTGTAATTTCACATGTGAAATTACAAATTAACGCTGAAATTTCGCGCCAAAATTAAGGAGTATTTCGTCACCTATGATATATGATAATAACAGTACATTCCAAGAAAGGTGGTTGTGGGCCAATCGGCAGCTCGTAAAGAAACAATAAGTTACTCGAAGCACAAGATTTAATTGTTGATAGAAAACTTTTTTAGAGAAAACAAAATGTTTCACCAATGTTTTTCTGTCAAAACCTTACAAATAACACCCGGAGATATTTGTTTGACACAAGCTGTTATTTTATCATCTACCATCTATTTCTCCGCTACCATTGCCGCGCTTTGCAATAATATTACCACCTCAAGTCCAAAATTTAACTAACGATTACGTGTTTTGCTTGCGTCATTTACTCTAACCTCTCGGGAAACATGTACTTTCTTCAGTTGGCTGTCTGTAGGTTGCAATTGGTTGATTTCGATATATGTTATGTTGTTGATTTCGGTCATGATCGATAACTTTCTCCGGGAATGTAATGTTGTTTTCCTGTAATCCGATTGGTCAACTTTGTTTAGGTGGCCCCAGTTATAGTAGACGCACTGTAAACAGGCTAAAGCCTCGGGCAGAAACAATCACCAAGGAAAAACACAAAGGCTTCATAGCAGGACGCAGTACAACAGAACAGATCTTCAACCTTAGGATACTGTGTGAGAGGTACCTCCAACATCAACAAGACCTCTATCACGTCTTTGTTGATTTTAAAAAGGCGTTTGATAGAGTATGGCACAAAGCTCTTTGATCTTCTATTACGCTTTATAACATTAACGCCAACCTGATCCAAGTCATAGCCGAGAACCTCTACAACAAGGCCACGAGTGCAGTCTACCTCAATGGCGAAATAGGAGACTGGTTCAGAACCACAGTCGGAGTCAGACAAGGCTGTCTGCTCTCACTGACTCTTTTCAACATCTTTCGCGAGAGAATTATGACTGAAGCTCTGGAAGATCACAAAGGAACAGTTAACATCGGAGGCAGAACAATCACCAACTTACGTTTTGCCAATAACATTGATGGATTGGCAGGAAAAGAGGAGGAACTAGCCTCTTTGGTGAATCGCCGTGAAAAAGACCTACTCACCCTTTGGAAATTACCTCAGAGAAGACCAAACTGACGACAAACAACAACGATGGAATCAGAATTGACATCCGGGTCAACGGCGGACGATTTGGCTAGGTTGGCCTCGGCGCAGTCGTCACAGATCAAGGTTCCAAGCCTAAAGTACTGTTCAGAACAACAGCATTACTAGCGAGACTGGAGACCTTCGGAAACGACATGTATATCTCTCTTAACTCAAAGATCAGACTCAAATGCATTCTGTTTGTCTCGGTTATGTTGACTCCTGCGCAACCTGGACATTGACAGCGGATACCCAGAAGAAATGAAGTCAGTGTCACATAGAGAGACGGGGAGACGAAGCATCCAAGTTGTCATGATAACTATCCCTGGATAAGGAACATCAGCCTGGTAAAAGGTCTTTTTTACTTACCTTCTAAAGGAGTTGTTGGTGCATCAGTTGTTGGTGCATCCGTGGGTTCAGCAGTTGTTGTTGCTGCATCAGTTGTTGGTGCATCTGTGGGTTCAGCAGTTGTTGTTGCTGCAGCAGTTGTCGGTGCATCTGTGGGTTCAGCAGTTGTCGGTGCAGCAGTTGTTGGTGCATCTGTGGGCTCAGCAGTTGTCGGTGCAGCAGTTGTTGGTGCATCTGTGGGTTCGGCAGTTGTCGGTGCAGCCGTTGTCGGTGCATCTGTGGGTTCGGCAGTTGTCGGTGCAGCAGGTGTTGGTGCACCTGTGGGATCAGCAGTTGTCGGTGCAGCAGGTGTTGGTGCATCTGTGGGATCGGCAGTTGTCGGTGCAGCAGGTGTTGGTGAATCTGTGGGTTCAGCAGTTGTCGGGGCAGCAGGTGTTGGGGCATCTGGGGTTGCGGCAGCTGTCGTTATAACTTTGTCGAGGTCAATTTTGACGATTGGTGCGTACTCCAGTGTAACAATCATTTTGTCTTTTGTACACTCCACAGTCAATCCTGCAAAACAAAACAATTATGCGTATTTCTACTAGAGCAAGGTGTTGTCTTGGGGCCTTTTTGCGATCTTGCAGCTCTCGGAAGGCCTCACGGGATTGGTTTGCAACCAGTAGGAAAACCAATAAACAAACAAAGTTAACAATGCAATCTGGGTCCAATTAAATTAGAGGTTCTGAAGAGCTGCAAGGCTTCTGGGGCCTTTTTTCTTGTTAAGGTAAAGCATTAAATTATATCAGCTATTGAAAGTTCCAACTAGCACAAAACATAGATAAACCAACACCATACAGGACAAAAACGGCAATTGCCTCACCGAAGCCCAAGACATTCTTAAGTGGTGGAGAGAATAGTGTGTAGAACTGTCCAGCCACATAGTCGAAGCTGGTCCAAGCAGGAGGGAATTCCGTAGTATGCGCCTTATGTAAAATCTCGCACAAGATCTGGCATACAGGAGAATGGCTCATACTATGGAGCCAGTCTCTGATCACTACCCTTTCCAAGAAAGGTAACCTAAAAAAGTGCAAGAACTATCAGCCTGCAATGCCACCCAAGTAAAGTCATGTTAAAGTTACTGTTACAGTGCGACTACTGTAATCGGGGCCACTTAGACAAAGTTGACCAATCAGATTAGTATGTGTAATCAAATGGTGACGAGTGAAATTATTCCCTAATTTCACGAGTATACCATTTGATTACCCATTAATATCATGGGTGACGAATTACGTTAGCAATCTTGAATTTTTGACATATTTATCCTTGATCGTATCAATCGAGAACTCCTGCACTCTCTCGAACGTTTAGAGCTTAAATTTGGCTCAAGTTCAGAATTTTTCGACAAAATACCTGTTAGAATCATTCTTGATGTGCTCTTTCGTGTGTTCAGGTTTTCTAAAGCGTCTTTTTTGCCCTGACATCTTCATTCATGACATTTTAAAACTTCGTCGCCATCTTGACACTGAGACGTACGGAAGGTTGCCATGGCAATTTTGTAATTTCACATGTGAAATTACAAATTAACGCTGAAATTTCGCGCCAAAATTAAGGAGTATTTCGTCACCTATGATATATGATAATAACAGTACATTCCAAGAAAGGTGGTTGTGGGCCAATCGGCAGCTCGTAAAGAAACAATAAGTTACTCGAAGCACAAGATTTAATTGTTGATAGAAAACTTTTTTAGAGAAAACAAAATGTTTCACCAATGTTTTTCCGTCAAAACCTTACAAATAACACCCGGAGATATTTGTTTGACACAAGCTGTTATTTTGTCATCTACCATCTATTTCTCCGCTACCATTGCCGCGCTTTGCAATAATATTACCACCTCAAGTCCAAAATTTAACTAACGATTACGTGTTTTGCTTGCGTCATTTACTCTAACCTCTCGGGAAACATGTACTTTCTTCAGTTGGCTGTCTGTAGGTTGCAATTGGTTGATTTCGATATATGTTATGTTGTTGATTTCGGTCATGATCGATAACTTTCTCCGGGAATGTAATGTTGTTTTCCTGTAATCCGATTGGTCAACTTTGTTTAGGTGGCCCCAGTTATAGTAGACGCACTGTAAACAGGCTAAAGCCTCGGGCAGAAACAATCACCAAGGAAAAACACAAAGGCTTCATAGCAGGACGCAGTACAACAGAACAGATCTTCAACCTTAGGATACTGTGTGAGAGGTACCTCCAACATCAACAAGACCTCTATCACGTCTTTGTTGATTTTAAAAAGGCGTTTGATAGAGTATGGCACAAAGCTCTTTGATCTTCTATTACGCTTTATAACATTAACGCCAACCTGATCCAAGTCATAGCCGAGAACCTCTACAACAAGGCCACGAGTGCAGTCTACCTCAATGGCGAAATAGGAGACTGGTTCAGAACCACAGTCGGAGTCAGACAAGGCTGTCTGCTCTCACTGACTCTTTTCAACATCTTTCGCGAGAGAATTATGACTGAAGCTCTGGAAGATCACAAAGGAACAGTTAACATCGGAGGCAGAACAATCACCAACTTACGTTTTGCCAATAACATTGATGGATTGGCAGGAAAAGAGGAGGAACTAGCCTCTTTGGTGAATCGCCGTGAAAAAGACCTACTCACCCTTTGGAAATTACCTCAGAGAAGACCAAACTGACGACAAACAACAACGATGGAATCAGAATTGACATCCGGGTCAACGGCGGACGATTTGGCTAGGTTGGCCTCGGCGCAGTCGTCACAGATCAAGGTTCCAAGCCTAAAGTACTGTTCAGAACAACAGCATTACTAGCGAGACTGGAGACCTTCGGAAACGACATGTATATCTCTCTTAACTCAAAGATCAGACTCAAATGCATTCTGTTTGTCTCGGTTATGTTGACTCCTGCGCAACCTGGACATTGACAGCGGATACCCAGAAGAAATGAAGTCAGTGTCACATAGAGAGACGGGGAGACGAAGCATCCAAGTTGTCATGATAACTATCCCTGGATAAGGAACATCAGCCTGGTAAAAGGTCTTTTTTACTTACCTTCTAAAGGAGTTGTTGCTGCATCAGTTGTTGGTGCATCCGTGGGTTCAGCAGTTGTTGTTGCTGCATCAGTTGTTGGTGCATCTGTGGGTTCAGCAGCTGTTGTTGCTGCAGCAGTTGTCGGTGCATCTGTGGGTTCAGCAGTTGTCGGTGCAGCAGTTGTTGGTGCATCTGTGGGTTCAGCAGTTGTCGGTGCAGCAGTTGTTGGTGCATCTGTGGGTTCAGCAGTTGTCGGTGCAGCAGTTGTTGGTGCATCTGTGAGTTCAGCAGTTGTCGGTGCAGCAGTTGTTGGTGCATCTGTGGGTTCAGCAGTTGTCGGTGCAGCAGTTGTTGGTGCATCTGTGGGTTCAGCAGTTGTTGGTGCTTCTGTGATTTCAACAGTTGTCGGTGCAGCAGTTGTTGGTCCATCTCCCGATGCAACTGTGGGTTCGGCAGTTGTTGGAGCTTCTGTGATTTCAACAGTTGTCGGTGCAGCAGTTGATGGTCCATCTCCCGATGCAACTGTGGGTTCAGCAGTTGTTGGTGCAGCAGTTGTTGGTGCATCTGTGGGTTCATTAGTTGTTTCATCTGTTGGTGCAGCAGTAGTCTCACCTGTTGGTTAGAAACGAGGTTTTTTGGGCAATCAAGAAGGTCTGAATACCTCTATAGGATTTGCATCTTCCCATTTTGAGAAACTGCAAATGGAAATCTTAAATTTTTGTTTCAGAAAAAAACATCAAGGTGTACATTTCATCAGTGTGCTTACTTGCTGAATAATAATGTTGTGTAATAAAGATTAAAATCCCTGCGCAGCGTAGTTCCTTCATGTTTATTTAAAAAGTGTAAAATCGACGCTGTTCAAAAGTGTCTTAACGAACGTTTCGGCAATGCTGCCTTCTTCAGGGTACAAGAGTAAATACCATTAAAAAGTTCGTTAAATTAGCTCACGTGCCCGATTGGATTCTCGCGGCCCGATTGCATACTCGCGCGCTTATTCTGACTGGTTAAGAAAATTGGCCGGAGAATTTTTCGGCTATTCACGGTCAAGAGATTTTTTCTGCGCCTCGTTCCCAGTCGTCCTCACCTGACAAGCTTGTCAGGAGAATTTGCGCTCGGTTTCGAGCGTCCTTCGCTCACTCGAATAGCGCGAACTGGCCTGGGAACGAGGCTGATTTCTGGTCACAAAGAAAAACCAAAACGGTCAGGAAATTGCTGAGAACCACTCTTGTGCTAAATAAGATATGAATGGAACAAAAACAAAGAGGATGAAATAACTCTTCGGATTTTTGTCGATTTTGGATCAGACAAAAAACGAAGAAGTGTAAATATCCCAAGGGTACTCCTTTTTTTCAGCCTAAAGGGATAAGTGCCCTTTTTTAGGGTCTTGAGTCTTTAACAGGGTATACAATTTCACATAAAAAAGAGTGTCTTTTTCGGCCGGAAGCATTTAATTAGTGTGAAGGATTGGGAATGAGCGGTCCACACATTTGGTACCAACAATATCTTTCCAAAAAACCATTTCCATGATGTAACTTTAAAAAATTATTTATATGTATTGTGTTGCAAACCGAAATATCGAGCAAATATAATTCACCACTGGATTTTTGTTATCTCTCCTTACATGTTTTGACTCACTCTTCTTGCCGTAAGGATATAGAGGTTTACTGTCTTATTAATTCCGTAAAATAAGGTTTCATGTCTTAAAAAGGGTAGCGACATGGACTATTTCTGTCTTACTGCGCTTTTCACAAATATGCGAATTCTGAAGTTCAAAAGCCAACTGACGATTGCGTTTTTCGTCAACAAAACTTTACTTTCACGCGTTCAAAATGTCATGGTTTGTGATTTGTGATTGGTGGATTTCGATCCGTTTTGTGTGTCTCTGTGTTTCAAGGCTCGTTGCTTGTGATCGTAATTATGATTGACGGCAGCGAAAAACGCAATTGTGAAGGCGGCTTTTGAACTTTAGAGTTCGCATATTTGTGAAAAGCGCAGTAAACAGGGTCAGGGTTGGAAGACATCAGAGGCACATCTCTACCAGCCTTTCATCTTTAACCCCTGGTAAATATGTGTATTATTACCTTGCGCCTGAACTCGCTGTGATCCAATTAAGACATCTGCAAAAGATATGAACTTTAACTTATTAGCTGTTTTTACTGTCCCCCACCAGGAAGGGGGGGGGGGGGGGGGGGGGGTTGGGTTTGAAAATGTTTTGTTAGGAGGAAAAAAAAAGAACCCCCATGGGGGAACAGACTTGAAATTTTTTTAATTTTTACCGGTCAAAACAAAGGGTTTGTTTTTGGGGCCCCACAACAACAACCTAAATTTTTCTGATGGTGAACATAAGACGCGCCCTCTCACCAACCTTTCATCTTTAACCCCTGGGAAATATGTTTTTTATTTCCTTGCGCCTGATCCCGCTTGGATCCAATTAAAACATCTGAAAAAAATATTAATTTTAACTTTTTTGCTTTTTTTACGGCCCCCCACCGGGGAGGGGGGGGGGGGGGGGCTGAGGACTTGGATTGAAAATGTTTAGTTAAGATGAAAACAAAATGACCTCCATGGTGGAACCGACTTGAAACTTTTTTCATTCATTACGGTCATAGACAAGCGTGTTTTTTTGGGCGCCCAGAAACAGCATCCTAATTTCTTCTGACGTGGCTAGCCGGTAGGGATGTCTCCATATCTAGCGGCAAGAAGCAGGCTACTGCCTTTGCAGGACGCGCCGGTTTTTTAGGGCAAAGGGAGATTTCGAGGACTCGAGCGCACAACACGAGCGGAGAAAAGGATTCAACGTGGACACACTGCAAATTATAGTAGTTGTTAAAAAATATACCTACGTGTCGTAACTGTTCATCAGTAGGAGGCCTAAAATGTGTGCAATTCCACAATTGGTTTCGGCTCCATTAAATCCTGTACCAATATTGCAGAACATTTTAGGTGGAGCTACCCACAATGTGAGCACTGTCACGAGCAACACATACAGCTGTTTCGAGAAAGGTTGTCGGAAAAAGTGCACGCGACTAAACCCGAAAGGTATTGTGGGTGGTTTTTAGTTCACTGTTTTTCAAAGAAATTTCAAAGAATGGCAAGAGAGGCCATGGACATATGTTTGCGAGTGCTAAAGGAAAGCAACAAAAGTAGCTTCGACAGCTACAGTGTCAGGAACAAGTCATTGATCATATCCCATATTACCTTTCAGGATTGTCGCGTGCACAGTTTCAGACAACCTTTCTCGAAATAGCTGTATAAGTGAGGAAAATAACGCAAAGGATGAGAGACTAGTACTCCTCTCCCCGTGGCGTGTTTCCCTCGCGCGCTCTTTTAAAACTAACCAAAGAGAAAACTAACTGGCGCCTAGACTAGACGTGGCATAAATACGCACCCTATGGCGTCTCTATTAATTTAACCTCAACGCCTTTGAGAAACGTTATTTATGCTCTTATGAGATACTTACAGAAAGTCAGGGTCAGTAAGGTGAAAATAAAAAGTCTGCTTCCCTCCATTACAGCAATCTAAAGAGAACTAAAGGAAATGTTATGACTCTCGTTAATTGCATTACTTTCTATATATAGTCCGGCATTGAATTTATGCGGCTTTTTGTAATATCTTTGCTGCCCTCGGGGGTGGGGGGCGGGGGGGTAGCTCACCGCAGTTTTATACAGGCAGGCGCTGCCTCGAGGTCCAGCCCCCTACCTTTCTATATACCACTTTTGACTGAAAAGGTAGCCCTTTCGTTTACTTTCTATTAACAAATGTTACACCTTTCACGTACCTAGTGTAGCGCTTTGCATTCCTTTTACGCAAAGCGTAATTATCACACGGCATGTCTGAAAACCAGCTTGCTGAGCCATTTACCTTGTTTAAATAAAGTTGATTGATTGATTGATTGACTGATTGATTACGCTGTGGCTATATGGCCGGTAACCGGTAGGGTTTTCAAAACACTAAATGACCGGCAGTCCGGTATTTTCAATAAATTTGACTTATCTAAGAATCCCAACCAACCCAAAATATCATATGTCGATTAAGAAAAGTCAAGCGGTCCTAAAATGCCTTATAGATCTTACGTCTAGCGTTGGGTTTACGCTGGGCTCAGAAAACGAAACCATGTTTTGTGACACTTACAACGTCGACTGCCGGTCAAGGGTTTTATAAACACTAAATGACCGGCAGTCCTATATATTTTCAATAAATTTGAAAAATCGAAAAAATCCATCTAATCTAAACTATCATATGTCGATTAAGAAAAGTCAAGCGATCCTGAAACACTTTATAGATGACAAGTTTAGCGTTTGGTTTACGCTGTGTTCAGAAAACGAGACCATCTTTTTGCGACTCTTCGAACATTTTCAGGTCGACTGCCGGTTGTCAACACACTAAATGACCGGCAGTCTCCCCTGCTAGCAGAGTCGCTTCGATCTTTCCTAGATAATTCGGGAAAGGGGAAAGGAGAAAGGGGAAAGAGGAAAGCGGAAAGAGGAGCTGAGAAAAGTTTATAAGTGTCACAAAACATGGTTTCGTTTTCTGAGCCCACCGTAAACCAAACGCTAAACTTGAGATTTGTAAAGCGTTTCAGGATTGCTTGACTTTTCTTAATCGATATATGATAGTTTGGTTTGGTTGGGATTCTTAGACAAGTCAAATTTATAGAAAATACCGGACTGCCGGTCATTTAGTGTTTTGAAAACCTTGACCGGTTACGAGCCATATAGCCACAGCGTCCCTTTTAACTACTGTAAATGCACTGTCTTTTGGGTAATGACAAAACTGGAACGTTTTCTCGAACTTTTTCGGAGACATAAAACTCATCTGTTAGCGTCTGAGGCCTTTTCACAGACCGAAAAGAAAGATTTTCCTACCATATACTTCAACTATTGAAATCCTCACCCTTCTATATGCCAGAGGCCTGGCCATAATAGTAGTTCCCCCCCCCCACCCCCACCCCCGTGTTTTGTTGCGGCGTTTTACGTTATCGTTGCCGCGAAGAATTTAATCGCTGGAGGAAAGAATGCTAATGACAGACATCTGCCGGAGATTACCTCTCTTGCATCTTGGTAACCCCCCGGAGGGGGGGGGGGCACTCCCTCATATAAGCCATATAGGTATGTGCCGCCCCAAAGAGTATGGTTTTTGCGCCGTTTTGGTCCTAAACGCCTATACTGCTTATTTTGGTCTGGAATCGTCCATGGTTTTCGAGGAAACTACGGGAGTGTATGAACGTATTTATCGTTTCCAATTGCAAATGAATAAGAAAGAAAGAGAAATATGCGAATTCGAGAATTCATCAAGAATTCCCCGAAGTACCCCCCGGGTTAGTCTCCTTCGCAGCCGTTATTAGGGTCGTCACTCGTCACGCAACGCTCCTCCTGCGTGACGAGTGACGACCCTAATAACGGCTGCGAAGGAGACTACCCCCGGGTTGGTAACTTTGGTAATGCAAACAAGAAAATAGCGTCTATTGAAAAAGCACTCCAGAGAGTTACAATTACAGATAAAATTAGAGCTACTTATGACCTTAACAAGCCTCGCGTGTTAAATAAATATTTATTCAGACGCATTATGCCTTGGGCGTTGTTTATGGTAAACGTTTATGTTAAATTTATTTCATAATGT